GCTCCTGGGGACCCTGGGGCTGCCAGCCCCGGCCTGGCAGTGCCAGCCCTCTGCCGGGGTTTGGATCTTTCCCGAGGGATTGGTGGGACCCTCAGGCCCGGGCAGCGATGGCACGGGCAGGGAGGGCAGGGAGGGCAGGGCAGTCTCTCACCGAGATGACGGACGGCATCTGCACGGCGGGGCCGGGCAGCACGGGCACGGCCTGGCCATTGGCGAGCTGCACCACGAGCGGGAGGGAGCCGCCGGGAGACCTGCAACAGCCCGGCTCTGCAGCGCTGCCCGGCCAGGGGGACACGGGCACCCCCGAGGGCACCTCCTGCCCTCCTGCCCTCCCTCCTGCCCTCCTGCCCTCCCTCCCTCCCTCCATCCCTCCAGAGCCACAATCCCTGAGCCATCCCAGACCCAGATACAATCCCTGACACATTCCCTGACACAATCCCTGAGCCATTGCTGCTCCACACACAATCCCTGAGCCATCCCAGACCCAGACACAATCCCTGACACATTCCCTGAGACATTGCTGCTCCACACACAATCCCTGACACAATCCCTGAGCCATCCCAGACCCAGATACAATCCCTGACACAATCCCTGAGCCATTGCTGCTCCACACACAATCCCTGAGCCATCCCAGACACAATCCCACACACATTCCCTNCCCAGACACAATCCCTGACACAATCCCTGAGCCATCCCAGACACAATCCCACACACATTCCCTGAGCAATCCCAGACACAATCCCTGACACATTCCCTGAGCCATCCCAGCCCCAGCCACACTCCCCAGCAGCCAGCGCCGTGCTGAGCGGGAAGAACGCTTTCATCTCTCCCCACGGTGAGTTTTGCCTCGTTTCAGCGAGTTCTGCCTCGTTTCAGCGAGTTCTGCCTCGTTTCCTCACCGCAGGACAATCAGTTCCTGCTTCCTGCTCCGCACCCCGCCGTGCCATGATGGCTTGACAGCCCCACAGCCCCGTGGCAGCTCCTCCGGGGGATTCCCTGGGCCCGGAATTCCAGAATTCCAGCGCTCCCTGCCCCTACTCACCCCAGCTGTCGGTTGGAGGGGGGCGCCTGGGTGATGACGGAGGTGGGCGACGGCAGCGTGGGGTGCAGGGGCTCGTAGCCCAGGTGCAGCGGCAGCGAGCCCGGCCGCACGATGGTGGGCGTGGGCGCGGAGAGGACCACGGGCTTGGAGGGGCTCTCCTGCAGGGCACAACACGCAGCGGGGCTGCTGACCCACCCGGCCCCTCGCCACCGCCCGCCCTCCCTGCTGCCCGCTCCACAAACGGGCACAGCAGCTCTGCCCGGCACGGAAAGCCGGGGCAGCGCGGCACCCGGCACTCGGCGAGGAGGGGAAGGGCTCCAGCACTCAGCCCGGGGTGCTGGGCAGGAGGTGAAGCTCCAGCCCCTCATTTTGGGGTGTTTTAGACCTCCAGCACTCAGCCCGGGGTGCTGGACAGGAGGTGAAGCTCCAGCCCCTCATTTTGGGGTGTTGGACAGGGAGGTGAAGCTCCAGCACTCAGCCCAGGGTGCTGGACAGGAGGTGAAGCTCCAGCCCCTCATTTTGGGGTGTTTTAGACCTCCAGCCCCTCCTTTTGCGGGTATTTCAGAGCTCCAACCCCTCAGCTCGGGGTGCTGGACAGGGAGGTGAAGCTCCAGCACTCAGCCCGGGGTGCTGGACAGGGAGGTGAAGCTCCAGCCCCTCATTTTGGGGTGCTGGACAGGAGGTGAAGCTCCAGCCCCTCAGCTCGGGGTGCTGGAGAGGGAGGTGAAGCTCCAGCCCCTTATTTTGGGGTGTTTTAGACCTCCAGCCCCTCAGCTCGGGGTGCTGGACAGGGAGGTGAAGCTCCAGCCCCTTATTTTGGGGTGTTTTAGACCTCCAGCCCCTCAGCTCGGGGTGCTGGACAGGGAGGTGAAGCTCCAGCCCCTCATTTTGGGGTGTTTTAGACCTCCAGCACTCAGCCCGGGGTGCTGGACAGGGAGGTGAAGCTCCAGCCCCTCATTTTGGGGTGTTTTAGACCTCCAGCCCCTCATTTTGGGGTGCTGGACAGGAGGTGAAGATC